ATATACTAACGACGTGATTGCTACTTGCGCTTTTGGTATAAGTGTTGATTCCATGAGAAATCCGGAGAACGAATTCTATGTATACGGCAAAGAATCGACCAATCTTAACAGTATTGCTTTATTAAAGTTTTACATATACCGAATCATGCCTTGGTTGGCAGAAATAATTGACTTGAGACTCGTTCGTCAGAAAATCGCAGATTTCTTCCGAAATCTCATAGAAACCACTATAAAAACCAGAGATGAAAATGGCATCGTTCGTCCTGATATGTTACAACTGATGATGGAAACCAGGAATAAGGAAGGCAAGGCAGAATTGAGTATCGATGATATAGTATCACAGGCATTCATCTTTTTCTTTGCTGGTTTCGACAGTTCTTCAACATTAATGTGTTTTGCCGCTCATGAAATTGCGATAAATCACGACGTACAAGAGAAACTTCAAAAGGAGATTGACGAAGTTTTGGAAGTAACAAATGGAGAAGCACCTTACGAAGCAATTAACGGCATGGAATATTTAGATGCTGTGATTAATGAAGCTCTCCGACTGTATCCAATTACTGGACCATTGAATAGAGTATCCGTAAAAGATTTTGAGCTGCCGCCAGCATTACCAGGATTGAAACCATTTTCTTTGAAGAAAGGACAAGACGTATGGCTACCAGTTTATGCACTTCAGCGTGATCCCAAGTACTTTGAGGAGCCGGAGAAATTTGATCCCGAGCGGTTTCGTGGTGAACGGAAAAAGGACACACTCAACTCCGGAGCCTACTTTCCTTTTGGTCTTGGTCCTAGAATGTGTATAGGTAACAGATTCGCATTGTTGGAGATAAAAGTCGTATTCTTTCATTTACTGGCCCGTTGCGATTTGAAACCCTGCGAGAAGACGCCGATACCACTTAAATATGCTAAGGATGGCTTCAACATGAAGGCTGAAGGTGGTTTCTGGCTGAAGGGGTTACCAAGAAAAGATGCTCATCACACTCTTGCAACTGATCCTGTCAATAGAACACGTTAAATGTAAAAAAGTTTTAATAATTTTTTGTGTCTTTTTGAAAATTTGGAAATTGAAGAAATTTATAGAGAAATATAATTCCTGTTATTTTTTAATTAAAAGGTAGTATAAAATAATCTTAAGATGAATTTAAAAAAAAATAATTTTTGTTTTGTAAGATGGTCTAAGAAGATTGCAACGCTACTCTCTAGTCAATAAATAGTTTATTCTTAAAATTGTGTAAAACGATTAAAATAATACTATTAAAACATTATCAACAATATCTGTTTTGCTAATGTTATTATAATCATAATTATTATTAATTTTACATGTCAATAATTATTTCTAAAATGACAAAATAAAACTTATAAAGCTCTCATTTGATTTAAGTATCAATAGCAGCAAATGTTTTATTATTGCATCAAATATGTGTTGTTGCCTTGTGATTATACATACATTATATTTATTTGACAAATATTCCTGTTTTTCGTCACTCAAAATATATTTATATTAAATATTATATCAAATAAACCAATTGACATTAAATTTAACAAAAAGAATCGACAAAACTTGGCTAAAATTATCGCTATTTAGGACACTAGCACTTATACATAACGTGCGCTTTTTAAAAGGACTTGATGTAAAGCCGAAACGATCGTCTGCAGGTAGCATTAATGTAATTTTTTATATGAATATAACGGATTAGCACGAAGATCTTGCTTGGCTCTTGGCCCATTACAATTTATATTTATTTTTAATTTTAATTCTCGACTGAAATATATATTATTGTAGACTACTACGCGCCGAGTCGCCTCAGCAAGCATTCAAATTATCGTTATAACGTGGACGTGAAAGAAGATGCGCTTTCTACCCGATGTTACACTTTATGCTATCGTAATTACACGAGTAATTTACTTTTGCAATCAAAACTGCATGTTCATTTAAAAGGGATAAAAAATGCAAGGTTTATATACGACAATGGTCAATGCTCCAGATCACATGATAAATATTTCTTTATTGAATGACTTTTTCCTTAAATTAGCGAAAACCTTTACGAATATGAGATTTTATTGCGATATTATAAGTATCTAGAAATACAATTAAACTCAAGTAGTCAACTATTTATTCATATGAAGTAGTTATTTATTTCTGTTAACATATATACATATATACATATACATATATAATGGCTTTTCTCAATGATTTTTCCTTATTGCCTGCTCGTAATGTCGCATATATGTACATAGATTAGAATTTCGTGACATTATTGGAACAGATGTTTTCTCTTGCGACACACCATTTCAAAAATATCATGTGACGCTTAAAATTTCAAG